GAAGAGGTGGTTGAGGTGGCTCATCCCCAACTAGCAGAGGTGGCACTTCTACTTCAGGAGGAGCTGGTTGCACTTCGTCAGAGGAAATTGGATGAACTTCAGGAGGCTGGACTTCAGCCGAGTCTACTTGGTTCTCAACTCCAGCATCTCGCACTTCTTCCTCTTCCTCCACTACCACAAGCTCAGCATCAAAGGCTAGAGGAAAGTAGTGCGTCCCTCAGCGTCACGCTTCCACCTCAGCTTAATCAGAGGTTAGAAGTCAGCAGAAAGACTCTCATTGTCCTCCTGCACCCCTTCTTCTTGTTCGCCGAAGGTGACCGTCATTACGTCCACTTCGGGATACTGAGCTTTCACCTTCTTTCTACAATCGGTGAATGCCAAGATTGTAGTAGGCAGTCAATAGAGGTTGATGATGCTCTCAAAGGTGCTGGAGTTGAGCAAGTTGCCAATATGCTCCTCCATTCCGTTGTGAACTAGCAGATTCACATTCTTCTTCAGCTCCGCCACTCCTTTGTTCATATTCTCAATGTATTTGTCTTGATCCTCAAGCTTGTCTTCTCAGATCTTCCTCTTACACTCTTCGAAGACAAGTCTTGTGCTCAAGGTATCTTTGTCGTTCTGGAGCTCGGTTACTGTTGGCACAACCTCATCTAGTTTCCTCTACATCTCTTTGTTCTTCTTCAGCAGCTCCTCCTTTTCCTTTTGCAGCTCCTCACACTGCCTCTGCAAGCTGGCGCGGTCTTTCACACTCTCCGCATACTCTTGCGTCAGAGCGTTTACCCAGCTTACACTCTATAATGCAAGTAGAAGTCAGAACTCAAACGCAGAAGCCAAAAAATCAAAAATAAAATATGAAAAAATTATAACTTCTTTACATACCTCCAGGGCGTGCCTCACTACGCGAGCCCCCAATTGGCCCATCGCCTCTTCCCTCGCCTACCTCTTATCCACCTCTGGAAGAGTGGCGTTGAGAAATCGCTTCGCCCCAGTAATGTTCGTTGCTTCGAACAAACTCTTTTGGAACGAAGGAGGAGGGATGAGTTCCTTGCCTTTGCCAGGGCCTCGCACCTCGACCTCCTCCCTTTCCCTGACTTCAGGATCAACTTCAGTAGGAGAAGGTCGAGGTACGAATTCCACCACCTTATCCCCCCTAGCTTCTGGCTCTACCACCTTCCTTTTCTTCCTCTGTAGTGGCGCCACCTCCTCACTCACTTCTTCACTGCCCCTCCTTATAGGCTCTGGCCTTTACTGCATTTCCAGAGCTCGAGTAGAAGTGCTGGACAAGCGTTCCCTCTCTGCTGCCCCCTTATCTGCCACATTTGAAGTCTTTGACTTCTTTCTTGGCTTCTTCGGGATAGCCAACCCCCCAACAGCGTTCAAAAAACCCTCCATCTCAGCTGCAAAATAAACACAAATATCAAAACACACTAACTGAAACCTCAAATACATTGTACAAAACAAAAGCAAACCAACCTTCGCTCAATGAGCTTGGCCCATAGAGCTCGGCCCACAGAGCTCGACAGCTTCTATTGCCTTCAAGCTGGTGAGGTACATGATATCCACTGAGTCCCCTTCCTCCCTCACTAGCTTCCCTACCTCTTCCACCTCATCCTCATTTAACTTAAAATCGTTTTGCTTGGTTTTCTTAGCTTTCCAAGTAGATAGGTATTCCACTTCGGCATCCCTCCTACTCCACTCGATGTCATCCACAAAAAAGAACTTTTATTTCCATCCTTTAATGGATGACGGTCCAACAGTAAATAAACTCCTATTCTCTTTGCTGGACGTCTGAAGTTCGAAGTAATAGCACCCTTTTTCACTCTTACCCCCATAATTTATTATGAAAAAATACTTAAACATACTTACAGTGGGAACCCCAACACCCTGGGCTCGGCAGTATACTATAAAGCCTATTATTACTCTTATAGCATTTGGGGTTAATTGGGTTATTCCTATACTATAATCTAACAATAACCCAACCAGTAACTGTGGAATGGGAAACCTAAGCCCTGCTGCCAAATAATGGACATACATGGGCATCCAATGATCTCAGGGTGTTGAGCACGCTCTCTCATTCACCCCGACAGGCCTAATTAACACATGGTGAGGAAGGTTGCAGTTTCCTACGAAGCCCCTAAGGCTACCCCTGCTACCCAGTTCACTACCATACTCCCTCACCTCAGACACTATGCCTAAGTCTGGGTCATAACACCTATCTACATTACCCTCAACCTCCATAATGTTCGAGGGAATTTCTTCTTCCTCCTCTTCCTCTATCCCTCGCTCCCTCCTTTCCTCCACTGTCCTCTCCGAACTAGATGGAGACGGACTACTCTCTGAGTCCATACCACCATACTCCAGAGGCATCACCTCACTTCCTACCACACTCATTGTTCCTTCTAAAGACATCTCCTCAATTTCTACATGAAGTAGGAGGAGGAATGAAGTTAGGATCCTTAAAAAACTCTAATGCACACTCAATGTCATTCTCACTCCCAACCCTAACTTCCTTCAAAGGACTCAAAATCAAAAACAAAAAGGGAGAAAGGAGAATGACACTTTGTTAAAATCAAAATCAAAGAATCAAAAACATTACCTGATTTTGGTCTTGTGAAACTGGTGTTGAAGTTCCAAACGAAGCACAGAGGTTAACCGCACGAAACCGTAGAAATTTAGCAAGAATTTGGTAGCGAAATAGCAAAAGTAAAACCCTTTTTTACAAAAGTATTGCCTTTTATACCAAAGGAAAAATATGCCTCAACAGTTGTAATTAATTCCATCTAACGGCTATAAAAACACCGTTTCCACTTCGACGGTTAACCCCAAACGGCACCGTTTCAAACTCGACGATTCGTTTTTTAATTCCAGTTATTTAACTGTTGCAATTATACTTTTACACCCGCATTTATTACGCACGTCCTTTAGAGGGCAACTGTCACATCACGTACTGACTCTTTGTCAGACTTTTCAAATGGGCCCACTTAAGCCCATTTCAACACTCTTGCCCACTTTTACACATTCTTAATTTTTGCAAGTGTTTTACTTTGGCAACCGACCTGACGACTCCGATCATACTTGTCTCTTCGCCTCCGGCCACAGTGACCCAATGTCACATATTTCACCTCGGCTCCGGCCATAATGACCTAGCGTCACATGTTTTACTTCGGCTCCGACCCACAATGACCCAGTGTCACATGCTTTACTCTGACTCCGGCCACAGTGACCTAGTGTCACACGTTTCACTTCGGCTCCGGCCATTATGACTCCTTGTCACATATTGTACTTCGGCCTCGGCCACTGTGACTCCGGTCATTACTCTTTATTACGGCTCCGGTCACTATGACTTCGGTCATTACTTTTTATTACGGCTCTGGCCACTATGACTCCGGTCATTACTTTTTATTACGGCTCCGGCCACTATAACTCCAGTCATCAAATTTCACTACGACTCTGGCCACTATGACTCCGGTCATCACTTCTTACTATGGCTTCGGCCACATTGACTCCGATCATTATTTTTACCACGGCTACGACCACAATCACTCCGGTCACTTTTTTTTTGGGCATGGCCATCATGACCCCCTATCACGTACTTCACTAGTAACTACGGCCATACATACATTTGAGTTACAGATTTTTATTTTTATTTTTATTTTTACTTTTACTTCTGTAACTCATCTATAATATTTTTGTCCCCCTTCCTTTTTATTTATGCACTATTCCCATTATCTCCAACAACATCATTCACAAGTGAATGACTTCGAGGGGGGAATAGTATAAGGATAGGTCCGAGGTGCTCAACCTCGAACGTACGACAGTAATTCCTTTATAATCGAAGTGAAGGATAAATCCAACACTTCCCACTCAAACAGCTGCATGACAACGACAATAAGCATGCCCTCACCTAATTCCTTATGACAAGCTGCACAGCAGTTACGTTGGACATTCTCACATCTGAATATCTCTCAATTTCCCGGTCCCGAAATAACCGTCTAGAGAAACACGTCAGACTCCGATTATCTTGCTTGGCATGCCACGTAGATTCCTCACTAGAACCTATAAATACCCCCCAGGGGCCACGTCAAAAAAGGTAATTGAAACCAACCCTAAGCTCTTTTTACCTTCATTCTATAGGTAGCCCCGATTATTGTTGACTTAAGCATCGGAGTGTCTACCCCGAGTTCCACCTCGAGGCTTTGTAGGTCAATCCGGGGTGCAGACACGGATTGAAGAAGGACTTCTAGTTTGGTGCAATTACACAATTACACATCCCTCACGCAATTATTCATCATTATATGCTTAATTTCTGCAATACCCTGATGCCATATACACATATATGTGCTTAATTAATCAATAAGGTCACTACCCACTGATGTTGCCTCAAGGATCGTAGTTGCAGCTGATGAGTGTTCCACCATTGTTACACCTAACCTTAGCACATCCCAGACGAACCGACTTGCGCCACACCACCTGAGTGTAATGCCACAAACCTTGCCGGCTGCGCAACTATTGAATTGGTAGTTATAGTCAGCCTTCTCATTGACCCACATTTGGACGGCAGCCACGCCAATCAGGTCACCGCTGCTCCACGCAAGGTTCTCTCCATAAGGTCCACCAAAGTGCACCATTTTGCAGTCACCACTGTGCTTGTTGAGGTAGTTCTATGCATATGCAGCCAAGGTGGGGTCCCAAGTCATGGGGCCAACACCTACAGCAGCACGAGCTGAGTTGTGCGCATTGATCAAGTTTTGTGGAGAGAGTTGGGCATGGGAGGAGAGGACATGGGCTAGGACCAGGAGACAAGCAAAAGCTAGGGAAACCTTAGAAATATCCATTATGGTTTGAATACAAAGAAATTAATGCCAAAACTATCTGAATTGGGAACGAGAAATGGATAAATTGAAGCGTATTTGTAATGTTCCGATATGGAAAATTATAACCAAGTAACCCAATCAAGTACATTCTTTTGTGGAAAATTGTGCCATTAAAAACAACAGAAACAAGCTGCTCAGTGGATTTGAAAATTTTACTTGAGAAAATTGCTGTTGGAGCTTTTTTATAATGGATTATATAGACAGATTATGTTCTAACATTTGAAATATCTCTTTTGTTTTCATAATAAAATTACTTTTTATTAATAAAGATAATAAAAGATGGCTAATTTTATTTATTTATAAATTAAAAATCTTCATAAATAAATCTTAAGATTAAATTTACTTCTACGAAAGTGTCATGCCAAGTTCAAGCTTGAAGTTTTAAGGAGATTTTTGAGAGTCTGGCTTTAAAATTGCAAAAAGATTGGGGAGATTTGGCATGAAAAACATGACTATTAAAAATGAAGTCTGGATGAACAAGAGTCATGTGACGAATGTTCTTTGAAAAGTCACCAAAGAAATAAAGTAGAAAAATAACTCGGAAAATTTTCAGTATTGGCTTCCGTTTTCAGTCAACATCAACAAACAAAACATGTTAATTTCTGGATAGAGCATTATCTTTTAATTAATTTCTTCCACAGAGTCGCCATAGTTGATCGTGAATTACGGACATTGGACAAAAGATTGATCTTAAAAGTCCAAATTTTAGTATAATTCTGTTGATTTTTTTGACTTTTTAAAAATAAATAGTAAAGAAAAATTTAACAATTTATATAAATAATAATTAAAAAAATTTTATATAAATTTTTTATTGAGTATTTTAATTTAATAAAAAATTTAATTATTATTTATATAATATATTAAATTATTATTTAAATTTTATATTTAAAAAATTAAAAAAATTAAATTCAATCTATTAAAAATTAAATGGAAATTAAATGATGACGGGCCGGCAGGGTCACTGAATCCAATTTTGAACGTAGACCATGTACAGACAGGGCTGGGCATTTTTAAACCAAACCGATGGTTTACTTGAAAATTGAATTGAAAAAATGAATTTGGTTTTTAATGGTTTTTAGTTTTATTTTTTTGGTTTTGATATTAACCGAATATATTTTGGTTTGATTTCGGTTGAATCTCTCAAAAATCAAAAACCAAAAATAAACCAAAAATAAGCTATTTAAAAACTAAAATTAAGATAAATATGATAAAATATGTGATAAAATATAATATATTATTA